AATGAAGATATTTGAAAAGAAGCTTTCATGTGAGATATCTGCAATGTCACAATTTAACTGAATATAAAAGGCAATTTAAGCTTAGCGCTCGTTTATACCATTCACGAGAATGCAGATTCTAGTTTACATTCCAGGTTATGACTGTCGTATTTGTCACTCATTTTAGATGTTACAATAAAACTACTGCTAAATAAAGACTGTTTTGTTTATGCCAAAAACTAGGTTTTGGTTTATCCCTCACCCTCTTCCGTCTGTTTGATTTACTCCACAGAATTCTCACAATACATGTACATGTACATCACAGAATTCTACACTTAGTGTAGAATTCTGTGATGTACATGTATCTGGCATGGTTGAAAGAAAGGCAAAAGTAATCGATGAGATGAAATCGTTATTGGCATTATTATCAACAACAGCGTAATACAACTAACATAACATAGAAATAAGCCTTACTCATGTCGATGCTGCAGTTTTTAACAGCATTCATTTAGAATATATTTGAGTAGCTAAGAACACATGTAAGGAAATGTTTATTTGAATTTCCATTTATCAAGTCAAATGTAAGCTTTTTATTGCGCTTGCCTTGTAACATGCCTGACTGCTACTGCTTGTTGACAAAAAAAATGATAATGTTGATTGTTTTGATTAGCCTAATTATTTATAATAAATTTAATGAAATTTAGAATCTAGACTCTAGATATAGATTAGGTCTAGATATCTAGATCTATCTAGTCTAGATCTAGATCCAGACTTTCTTTAGCCTTTAGCCTATTATCTTTATAATAATAGGAAATGGCTATCGAAGTGTATACAGACCCGGTAATGGTAACCGGGAACAAAGTCACGAAGTATACAGACCCGGTAGGGGAACTCTTTTGTGATTTCGGGAAGTTTCAGCCCCCAGACCCGGTGGAAATCTAGTGTGTGTGTGAGAGAGAGGGAGGGGGAGGGGGGGTGCTAGCAAAATGTGACATGCCCCAGTTGGCAGGAGGGAACGAGAGAAAGATAGAGTGGGAAATAGGTGGGGAGAAAGAAAGACAGAGACAAACAAAGAAAAAGGGAAGGCGAGCGATACACAGAGAGAGAGAGAGAGAGAGGGGGGGGTTACAATAAAGTTCAGTTTGACGGAAGGAAGTTGACGTGGCCACAGACATGTATTAATACATTGGAAAAGCAAGACGGACAGACAGGGCAGGTAGAGGCTCGGGTGATACAGGGTGATTTAAAAAAACACCCAAAAACAGTACAACTTTTAAAATTAATATTTTCCTCCACACTGAATTTTTGTCTTTCAAATTTGAACACAACATTTGGAAGTCAAAAGTGATTTGTCTAATAGTCATTAATATTTAGATAGCCCATTTTTCAGCTATGTCCCCATTTTTGTAGCATGACGCACTAGTTTGCTTTAGGCCTACCACTAAAAATTCCAACGATTAGCCATATTGCAAACTACAGTAGTCTAACAGGCCAACACAAAAAAACAACAACCAATCATTACCTGACTTTCCTTATAAGATCTTTTAAATTGGTGCATTCTGTATAAATATAGGTGGTTTAAAAAAAAGCCATTTCCGTTTTCGTAAAAAGGGTTTCTTCTTTGTGAATTTTCATGTCAAACAAATTCCTTTAGAATTAATTACATCTGTCCCAAATTACAACATTCTAGCGCAAATTTTGTGCGAGATATTTAGAAAAAAAGTTGTACAGGTTTTTTGTGGGGGGTTTTTTTTGTGTTTTGTTTT